CGTTTAGCTTCTTTCCTTTCTTTACGATTTTGTACAAGCTTAACTCATAAGTCATCTATTTCATCTACTTTTTTTATTGGAATATCAGTTATACCAACCTTATTAGCTGAAATACAAATATCTGAAATATTGTTATGAAATAATTGCAAATAGTCCTAAACCGTATCGTGAAGCTATTACGTTCTGAGCAATGAAGCCTAATAAGATGCCAAAAATTAATGATTTCTCTTCTAAAAGAGGATATTTACAAGAATTATGTCTAGTTCTATTACAGTTTGAGCAATGGTGTTGTGCTTTCGTAGCTTTTTTAATAGCCTTAGCTATGTGCAACTTCAACTGCTTCTTCGTAAGATTGGCCAATTCATCATCAGAGTCAACTTCAACTTTTTTTATTACTGGTTTTGGAGGCAAATCGGGCTTGGAGATAGGAACAAATTCTGAAACCCTCTAGTAATCCATTGTACAAATCTATCTATTAATATATCTTGCATTTTTTGATATGTGCCAGGAGGTTGTGGTCCATAATAAGGTTGAGATATCTGCAATAGTTGTGATGGCTGTATTTTCTGAGGAGCTGATTGTGAAGAAATGGATTAGAATTGTGTAGGTGTTATTAATTTAGATAACGATTTATAACTAGACTGGAGTATTTTACTAACTAATCCTAATTTTTTCTCCGCTCTTTGCATTTCAATTCGCTCTAAAATTTCAAAAAGATCAGCTAATGGTTGCTCAGTATCAATGCGTTCTGCATCATCCTCCAAGTTTGAAAACAAACCTCTTAGAAATTGTTCCTTAATCTGTTGCTTATCAAGATTAAGCATTTTTCCATATTTTAAAAGTTTTGAGTAAAAGTCTCCTATAGGTTCACCTTCTTGAGCTAATAATCTATAAACTAAATTATGCTTTTCACTTATTACTGTAGGATATTCATTTTTAAGCCAATATAATGCTTGACCAATCTAAATATCATCAAATACTATAGGATTAGCATTACCTGCATTAACAGCATTGGCAGGTCTATCTGATAGATATCCTCTAGCTAAGCGCCAATCTTCAGTAAAAGCTTTAGCTAGAATCATAGAAATACCTACGGTTACTACATTATTACTAGCAGTATTTGCATAGTTATAGACAATTGAAGGATTTCTAAAGCTATTATTAGTATTCATCTGTGCTATAGTACGTCCCCGAAGAGCACCCATACCAGCCTGGCCATGATTTGCAAAAATATTGTGAAGTTCCCATCGTTTACCAAGAATTTTTAAATCAAACCATTCTAATACTCACCATGTAGACACCCTCTAAGAATACCAAATACTTGATCCTGATTGGCAACTAGGTCTATACCAGTGCCAGTTAAATATGACGATAATTGACTAATAAAAATATCAATATCCTCATCATATTCACCTGAAAAATTTGGTAGTGGTAGTGGTTGTAATGCTATATTCGCTTATATATTTATAGGTAAATTATTTTGTAGCATAAAAATTTGTTGATTCAAATTTAAAATTAATTGTTTAGAATTGTGAGCTCGATTTTTCTACTTGCCCTACTTATTATCAAGTTGGATGTTGGCAAGAAGAAGATCATTTTCATGTGTTCTACACTTTCTTTTCTATTCTTGCAAATACTTTTAAGTTTGTCTATTTAAAAGATATGATGCAAATTTCTCTGCTAGCAACTCTGATATTTGTCTTTTTTGCTTAAGAATTGTAATATAACTATCAAGTTCTCGAGATTTAAATATACTATGCTGTGTCCTGTAGGCCTCATAAGCCTAATGAAGAAGATTATAGTCATTTTAAAATATAGCTAGTTGAGTTTGTGAATTTGTTAGCTGGGTTTGCAAATTTGCTAGCTGGGTTTGCAAATTCGCTACTGGGTTTTCTGCATAAATTGCACAAGCATTTGCCTGTGAATAAATTTCTAGAACTAACCTTTCAAACCTATTTCCTGCATCAGAAATTATATTAAGATAATCTACAATACCATTTATTGTAGGCGCTATTGTAATTGGGCTTTGAAAATATAGTCTAATATTATTTATCTTTCAATCAATTCTATTTTTTTGAATCGTAGCTTGATTTTCAGGTAGAGATAATCTGGGTGAATCTGGTTGCACCATTTTTATAGTATTATTTATTTTTTCATTAATTATGTTGTTTTTATTTTGAAAAATTACTAATTGTTTTTCTAAATAATCAATATAACTCTCTTGGTTTACAGATTCTTTAAGCACCCTTTCTAACTGTTCTTTAAGGCTAGAAATTTTCTGTCATAATAGATCTAGTTTATTATCTTGAACCAAAATTTCTTTTTTGAGATATTTAATATAATCCTCTTTTAAGCTTAGATCCTGTTGTAATTTAGAAAACTGATTTTTTATTATCTGCAAACTAGCTTCGAATTTTTTGATTGTTTCACTAGGTAGAGACACTACTGTATTTGATAGCATTATACAAGCCTATAATATATCGACTCTTCTGGAAACTTTGTCAAATAATAATTTATTGATATAGTAAAATGCATTAAAAATTGACCAACCTAGTATTACTATAGATCCTGATGAAGAAGTAGATCTTGTTTGCCGGTTAATTTATTATAACCCTACCAGTTACCATTTCAATGCTCAAAAATTATATAAAGCTATCAAGAATAAAGGCTACCATTTCTTATATAAAAAAATTCGTGAGTGGTTGAAGTGTCAACAACAGTACCAAATTTATAAGCCTCCTCCAAAACACATCACTAGAGCCAGCTATGGTCAGATATCACGTTCTAATTGTATATACCAGGCTGATATACTGTTTCTTACACATGACAAATATAAAAGAAAGACATACAAAGCAGTATTAAATATAGTGGATTGTGTGTCAAGATATAAGGCCTCAGTTCTTCTCATGTCGAAGAAAAGTTCAGACGTTACTAAAGCATTTAAGAAAATATATAATAGCCATAATTACTTATTAACCTGGTCTCAATTGTTACAAACAGATAATAGTCAGGAATGGATGGTGAAACTAATAGAATAATGGAAGAACATGGTATAGTAATTTGAGTTATTGGTCCATATTCCCATCATGGTACAGCAATTGTGGAGAGATTTAATAAAACTCTAGCTGAAATGCTATATAAGATTCAATATAGCGTTGAAAGTATATTCTCGGACCCTAAATTAATAAGAGCATGGGTTAAAGATTTATCCAAAGTAATAGATTATCTTAATAATTATCCTATACGTCTTATTCGAGCTCCAGATTCTTCAAAGTGGGGTTTAGCTCTAGCAAAAGCTATCAAACTGGAATGAGTAGAATCTAGACCATCTACAAAATATAAGTGTCTAGTTGGAAAAAATAAGGAAAATAAGTTAAAGAAGGGTGATATAGTTCATTATTTGTTAGCCAATAGAGAGTGGAAAGGCTCACCAGATTTAGAAAATCGCAGAAGCACAGATCCGATATGGAGTCCTTCATTACATAAAATTCGAAAAATTGTTATAATAAAGAATGAGCCTATTTTATATTACTTAGAAGATGATGAGTTTATACCAAAGCATGGATTTGTAAAAAAGGAACTCTTATATGTGAATATTAATACGCTTCAGTATCTGCCCAGAGTATATTGGAAGAAAATTCTCATTTCCAGTCTGTTAATTTCATTTGTATTATTAATAAAATGGCTAAAGCCATTGTATATGCTGAGAAGCGTGACAGAAAATGTCTTGGTAAAACTGGCCAAATAAATGATTTCAATATATACCTCTGGTCCTGTGAAAATGGAAAGTATCAGTGGAAATATCCATATCTATTAATAACTACGAAATTTGAATGGTATCCTTTATGCTATCATACTACTGAGAGAAATGTAAGATATATTTTTGAGGATCTATTAAATAAGAAATTTTCACCATACAGGGCTAAGTTCTTAGATGGAATGCAATTAGACAAGTATAACGAAGAGCTAAAATTAGCATTCGAATTCCAGGGCATCCAACATTTTAATGTTGTTCCAAAACACTTTTACCCCAATAGCAAGGCTGATCTAAATTTACAAAGATCACACAACCAAAAAAAAGCGGAATATATGCAAGAAGCAAGGTATAGATCTCATTGAAATCCCTTACTCTGCTGATTTATTGCTATATATAAAAAGCAAATTACAAGAGAGAAATTATTTATCACACAAAAAATAAACTCATAAGATCATTATTTTTTAATATAGATACTTTATATCTGCAAAGCAATAATTAGTGACTTAGCTTGATTGATATGAAAATAGAAAAGCTTGATCTATGTGAAATATTCGTACTTAATATCGATGAATGCAAAAATCTGGAAAGATTTAACTCATTAAATAGTACACCTCAGTGGCCTTTCAACTTATTAGTATCGGGCGAACTAGATCAGGAAAAACTAATATGATTATTAGTCTTTTGCTTGGGGATAAGATGTTTCGAATGTTTAGTGAAAAGAAAGGTAGAACACGTTATATTAAGAATGACGATTTGGTTTTGATCGGACATCATATTAATAAGCTGAAATACAAATATCTGAAATATTGTTATGAAATAATTGCAAATAGTCCTAAACCGTATCGTGAAGCTATTACGTTCTGAGCAATGAAGCCTAATAAGATGCCAAAAATTAATGATTTCTCTTCTAAAAGAGGAATAGTAGTTGTATTCGAAGATTTATATACTAAGCCTAAAAAAATACAAAATAAAATTGCTCCGTATTTTAGTGAAGAGCGACATGCTAATATCAGTTCAATATATATAACACAAAGCTTTTTTGACTGTCCCAAACTAATAAGAAAAAATCTCGATTA